CAAGCTGTCATGCCTTTTCCAAGCCTGCATCATCATGCCTGAGGCCGGATTGGGTTTAGCGCGCGCTGATCTCAGCACAGGTCGAGCGAAAGAGGTCTTGCCGCCCCTCGATGCTTGAGCCTCACAGATCACTAGACGCAACTGTTACAGCCATCCTGGAAGTTTTCACCATGCCAATATTGCCCATGCCCCGAACTTTACCATGTTTAGCGTCCATCCGCGTTCTGTGGAGCCCTGGGGAGCTCCGCGGTGATGATGCATCTATGACGTCGCGGCTACAGCTAGTGCAGCATTCACGATCGCGACTCAGACCCATGCAAAGCCAACCCTTGGCCCTGGGCATTCATTAATTACTAGATTTTGAGATGTCGCTTTCTAATGTGTACGATAACGCAAAGCGCGCTCTTTCTTCAGCTCCGCCAAACGACTCCTACCTTCGCTGGGATGCGCCGGGTGTGGAGACGCCAAAACCCAATGAAGATGAGACCGCTAAGAAGATTGGAGAGATGATGAACAGGATGCAGCAGCACAACTTCGATCAGCATCGACATGCTTTTCGAGCGACACACGTCAAGACGCAGGGTATTGTCAAGGGCAAAATGACCGTGCTTCCGGACCTGCCGGCCCACCTACAACAAGGCCTTTTCAAGACACCTGGCAAGATCTACGATGTCGCGGCACGATATGCTAATGAACCTGTCTTTCTTCAAGCAGACCAGCAGCCAGGGCCTCGCGGTCTGGGAATGCGAGTATTCGGTGTGCAGGGTGAACAGCTCCAAAGCTCTGACCCTGAGGCCAGTACGCAGGATGTGTTCTTCAATAACGCTCCGTCGATCGAGTTGACCGATATCGATACTTGTCTTGAGATCATGGAACTGAGGGAGAAGTACTTTGACAGTCCCTTGAAACTGGCCGCAGCGACAAAACGAAGGACAGATGCTATCAAGCAAAGTGCGCCTGGTAGGCTACGTGCTGTTTCTGAATGATATTCGTCTTGACTCATTGCGCTAGGTATGCTCCCGAATACGAACACAATCAGCCACTCGTTCTACACTCAGAGCGCATTTCGTTTTGGCGAATGGTATGGCCACATGGCGCTCTTCCCAGTACTCGACAATATGAAGCAACGAGAGGAGAAAGTCAAAGGTAGTGACTCGCGAGAGGCACTTCGCGATTGGCTGTTGGAGTACTTTGCTGATAATGGCGCCAAATACGAGTTCAAAGTCTGTCTCGACAACGCCTAATTGTTGTCGCTTTTGCTGATGTCAAGTGCAGATTCAGCTCGGTACTTCACCTGCTCATCACCCGACCGAAGACGGCTCAGTGGTATGGGACGAAGCTACGGCGCCATATCAGACCATCGCAACAATTGAATTCCCACCTCAGGATGCGTTGAGCGCCCAACGAAGAGTCTTCTGGGAGGACATGATGAAACTGAACCCATGGGATGGACTGGTGGCACATCAGCCACTGGGTAGTATCAACCGTTTGAGGAAAACGGTCTACGAGATGAGCAGGAAGAAGCGTGAAGCTGTGAACGCTACGCAAACCAAGGCGGTCCACAGTGTCAATGAGATACCATGAGCATCGTAACGTTATTATACACCAGTGTGACGAAGTCTCCAGCTCAGCTGAGCGGTGTCATCTCACTCTCGCCCAGTCCAGGCAAGAAGCTCTGCAACAGCCAACGTGTAACGCTCGTATATCCAACATCTCATTTCATACTTATTATGCGAACAGAGCGATATGGTTTCACTTCCCCGCTCTTTCCTACTGGTACCCACTATCCGGTCATTGCTACACGCCGTTGTATTTAGCTTACCGTAATATACGAGCTGTCTTAGTGTACAAAACCCATACCCAAACGGCTGGTACGCCTCACGTAGCGTGAGTGCCTCAGCTGACACCAATAAGCGTACCCCCAGACGTGGGACCATGTGATTGGTATCTGCATGCCGGTGCGCATCATTGGAGGCCGAAAATAACTGGCCAATCATGAAAGATCGCCACCAATACTCTAACGAAGAACTTCGTTTGCTGTCGGTTACTCGGTCGCACCGGTGCATTGATCCTCGTGGGATGTAGACAAAAGTAGCGAAAGGGTTGCTGCATACACGGAAAGCGGTCACGGCCACGCTGTGCGTGGAGTGTAGTCACAGTATAAGAGAGCTCTCACAGTTGTCCTTGCAACAACCGTCCACCTCCGATCTCAAACTCGGTCTTCAGTCGGCATCGTTCTTCAAAATGCTCTTCAACGCACTTACCATTACTGCACTGGCCGCATGCGTCAATGCCGCCGGTCGCGCCATCGTAACCAACCACTGCACCGATCCAATCTACCTCTGGTCTGTTGGCAGCAGCATGGGCGACCAGAACACCATCTACCCGGAATCATCCTACAGCGAGCCCTTCCGCACCGACCCCAAATCTGGTGGCATCGCTCTCAAGATCTCGTCCATCGAAGGCGGAATCTCCAAGCCCAACGTCAGCCAGACCATCTTCGCTTACAACCTCGACGTCAACCAGGTCTGGTACGATATGAGCGACATCTTCGGTGATGGCTTTGCCGGAAAATCACTGACGCTCAAGCCGACGGACGCTACCTGCGAAAGCATCGTATGGGCTTCAGGCGAGCCACCCGCGGGTAGTCAGATTAAGGTCTGTGGGGCTGAGACGGACTTGGAGCTGACATTTTGCACGCCGCCGCCGCCGTCGCAGTGCTTGCCCGCTTGGTCTCCTTGCGGGACGAACGCGCCTCCGGGTGAGACGAGGCTGTGCTGCACGCATTGCATTGGTAATCATCACTGTGTCCAGGCTCCAGGTTCTTGAGTGGATGCGTTGCAATGTCGAGGTGGATGAGAGTGGATGAAAAGCCGGATATCCGTTCTTGACGGAGGAGAAGGGACTTTCGAGGTGATGTTTTCATTGATACTTAATTTTGCGGTTTAACACGTCACTCATTAAGACTTTAATGGATTTAATACACTATCTAGGACTCATGTTTTGCTAATCCTTCACCAGAGCCTTCCTCCCTAGTGCTTTTCGATGTTGACAATCGTTGCATTTGATCTTATGTTTCCAGGCCAGTAAACCACTGAAGCTTTTTGCTTAAGATAGTTTCAGTATTCACTCGAAGATCTCGCAAATCTCTCCATCAGCTAGAGTGACAATAGGAATCCCTGCCCTCTTCGCCATATTCGGAAATTTTGCCACCATATGATCAGGCGGGGCCAAATCGCCGCGCCAATGCACCTCTAACCGTCGTAGATCTTTCAGAGGCGCAAATTGGCCCATAAGATAGTTGTCTAGTGAGACCAGCGTATCATGATCCGCTTGATGAATCGCGAGGGTATCCACACCCGCCAGGATAGGGTAATGGTTCAGGGTTGGGCCAGACTCGACTCCGAGGATCCGCAGATTAGGTAAATTCTTCATGAGGGCTAGCAGGTTCTGTGCAAACCTTCCTCCGCTCCTGGAGAAGGTTTCTCTTGTGACTATGATTTTGAGGGTATTGACGTTAACCCAGCAGCCCTCGTGCACTGTTGGAAATGCTGTACCTCTATCGTACTCAAGAGTGAGGTTGGTGAGAGTGGAAAAAGGAATCGCGCTGAGACCTTCAAACCCAGTAGAAAGTGCGAGTGACGATATCCTGGCGGGTGACAACCCCTGTTTCAAGGGTGTGAGGTCGAACGCTAAATCCCAGAAGCGATCTTTGGGATTTTGGGATTCTACAAAACAACGTCTTGTGTACAGTTCCACGGTCTGGAGTTTGGGAAGTGCCGCAAGAACGAGGCCGCACACTGCGGTCTCTGAAGGAGAAATGAAGTTCTTCATGAATGACTCCTTCTCCTCCACCGATAGCTGGAGTAACTCAGCAATGTTACCCAGATTCTTCTCACAGCTACCACAATTGCAGAGCCGGTCTTTCTCGTAGTCGTATGGAATCCTAGCTGGCGACTCGTGCCAGAACCAGACTGCCAGGCTGCGCACACGGACGCCAAGCTCTGGCCGATGGGTTATCGTACGTAGAAAGGGCGCCAAGAAAGAAGGGGCCCTCGTCTTCAGCAACCGCGAGCGGTATGGCTGAGGTAGGGAAACGTCGCGATACAAAATGGCTTGGGCTATTGGGAGCAGCCGCTTGCATGTCAGACTCGTGAAAAGTATACTCTGGAGTTCTGCCCCATGCCTCCAACGCGCCTGCTCAGTTTCTTGTGCCACTTCTCGGACCGCTCCGTATCTGCTCCCATACGGGCGATCACCATACCCTTGTTCTATGAGCAGACGCTTGGTAGGCGCAAGGTACTCTACTATTCGCAACAGCAGCTCGTTGGGTAAACGCAGAAGACGGCTGTCATCTGGTTTTCGCGTTGGTGATGAGGACTGATCGATGCGCAGGTAATCAAAACACTGAGCCATGGAGTCATCGGAGTCATCGGAGTCGCACCAATCCCTCCGCGCGGGTGCCATTTGATCGTAGTGGTGGAGGATGGAAGTAGAAATGTATTTTCAGGTCTGACTGTGGGGATTGTGATCAGCTCGCACAGAAGTGAGAATTTCCAAGCGCTTTTTCTACTTGACAAGCGCACCAATAGGTTTGCGATTCTCTCCTCCGTTGCTCGTGACAAAACAATGTGTGTCCTCAAATCAGGCAGACACAGAGCTGTAAACTCGGCCCCGCGGGACATTAGGCCTCCAGGGCCGCGATTTGGGGCAGGCTATACCGGATTCGGCATAGATCAAGATAGGGGAAGGGGAAGCGTCACGCAACATCTCTCTATTCCACTTCGCAGCTATTGCACGCAACAATATTGCCATGGCAATTTTGAACTCTATTCAGATCGAATCACTTTACGCCAGCTCTTTACATGCGAGCGAGACTGCTTTGCTTGTTCCCCACTGCAAGATGACCCTTTCCAAGCACAAAGACCGCGAGCAACAACAAGAGTAGCTACGCAATACCACGCATCATCCGTCACCATATACACCGATCCAACAACACTCTAGATCATAACCGCATCTCCATCAGCGTCCCACTCAACCTCCACCCTATCCATCGGATCCTGATGCACGCCAAAAGGTCCCATCGCTTTCTTCCAGCACACGTACTCCGCACGATGTAGCACATCCGGCTCGGCCTTCAATCGCCACGGCGTACCACCATCCGACTCCCACGTCGACATAGTCCACGGCGGGAAGTAGAGATACACCGCAATCTCAGCGTCGCGACAGATTTTGCGTACATCGTCGATTGGATCTAGACAGTTGTCTAGTTCGGCGCTGAACCTGGTGTTGTCTAGATGTTCCATGTGATAGGCTTCTATGCGCGTGAGGTTGGGTAGGTGGAGCTTTTTCTTAGCGAGACAGAGCGTATTCAGGAAGTTGGCTGTGATGTGCGTCGCCTCGCTGATGCGCAGGACTTCCAGCGTCTTTGGGAAGATCTCCGCTGGGTCCGCATTTGGCAGTCCTTGTCGTATGATTCCATGGCCTTGTATCGCCTTCATAGTCAGACCGACTTCCCTCAGGCTCTCGAAGCGGCGGAGGTCGAAGACCGTGGTCACGCTGTGGGAGTACCTTATCGCTGTCATGTCGCTCGGTATCTCAAGGACTGTCAGATGAGGCAGCTTGGCTGTGAGTGCTCCAAGCAAGAACTTGTGCTTCCACTCGTATGGTAGTGTATAACTCGCGCGAGCAGATGCAGACCGCGTACTCGCGAAGAGAGGGAAGTCCATGAGCCATGTGTCGCCGAGTTTTAGCTCGCGTAGGTTGGGTAGTGCGCAGATGAGGACACCAAATAGTGCGGGGACGATGTCATCTCTGATAGCTTCTAGCCAATCCTTTGCATGACGTTTGTTGGTAGCGAAGTGATTGATCATGACCCCACATGCTTCCAGAAACTCAGCGTCCTGCTTTATGTGCTCCGGAGCAAGGACCGCGTTATATTTGGGTTGGGTGAGATACACTTGTACCCCAGTGCGAGTAGTATGTTGGGTTCTGGTTGTCCTACCTTCACTCTTGCTCCAAATCTCTAAGCTCTTGACCTGACCGAGCAGGTGCGACCGGTAGCCCAGTTCTGACATGTACCGATCGATAAACGCGAGATTGAACCTTGGTTCTTTGAGTAGCCATTCTTGTGCGACAGGTCGCCATCTCTTGGACACAAGCGCAAGGCTTGCAAGATCACAGTTGCGACTTAAATCCGTGAACTGTGCGCCGATGTTAAGAAGCAGCTCTTCAGGAAGATCGCCAATGGTCTTAGGTATGCGAGGTGAATGTGAGGATACAGGTGGTCGGAACATGATGGGGAGGCTAGAGAGATTCGGGCTGTAGCAAGATATGGTGGGGTAGGCGCGAGGCTGAGATGTCAAATTAGGCAGCGGCGATGAGTGGTTGACTGGCGCACAGGCAGCGATAGGGTATCATCGACGGGTAACAAGCTGCCAGAATATACGAATGAGCTTGTGCTGCGGTAGAGGTTGGGTCACATCGAGTGCGGGGTGACCAAAGTTTGGAAGTTTGGAAGAAGCGCACGGTTGTGTCACGTGCTTGTATCTTTCACGTCTGATCTCTGCAGTAAGCACATGCAGCTGATGACTTCGCCGCATCTCATACCCAGTGCTCTTCCCGGGGAACTACGGATACGATCTAGAATCTTTCACAGCTCGACAATCCACCCTGAACTTATGCAGAGACAGGTCGGCCTAGAAACCTAGCTCATAGCGCATACCGTGCATCTACATCTAACCGTTACATACCACCCAGACATTCCGAACAGTCCTTGTTGCATAACTTCTTCTTCGGTTGCAGCAGTATTTTCCAGGCAACGCTAGCCCACAATGTCTCACTGAACTCGGCGGCCATGGGGATGTTAACAGATTCTAGCCGCAGACGTTCTATATCCTCGTCCAAGCCCTGCGCCTTATCGGTAATGTATGATGCAAGCTCGGTGATTTCAGCTTTCTTGGACCGCTTTGTCTGCTCCTCTTTCGCACACGATTTCTTGGTCGAGTCTCTATACTGATCTGGGGACTGTGCGTTCGTACTCTCCGTGGTGACAAAGCTCGCACCAAGGAATAGAGTCTCTTTAGCGAGGGGCGCAAGTTTCTGCTCGAAGCGGAGAGTGAACTGGAAAGTGTCCAGATCTGCCATGCGCGTTAGTCTTATGTCAGTATCGCACCAATACCAAACTCACTTAGTAATGGCGAAAGCCGTCGCCTGAACGTTCGCTTCCCCAGAGCCCTGTCAGCCCATCCACTAGAGTCGATTGTCGCTTGCTTCTTGTTTGGTTCTTGAAGCTGCGGATCCCACTTGCTGCTCCTGATACCATGAAAGAATGCACTCTGTATCCACAACCTCAAATCAAATGTGGGGCTGTTCAGGAGTTGCGAGTGGTGGTCAGCGTGACGTAAGAACATCCTGACGCCAAAGGCCAGTTGAGGCTGTCTGCTTGCTTCTGGAGCCCACTCGCAGAATGGAGCAGATGATCCTGAGCAACGCCACATTTCGAGAGGCCGTAAACGATAGAACGCCTCGAGTTCTTTACGCATGCCGCCGGATACCTCTTGGGACCCACTATGAAAGGTCACTTTGATGCCTTTGCGACCGAGGCTTGTAAGTAGGTCAAGGTAATCCAGTCGACCCAGATCGAAAGCGTTGCAGAGTATGATGAGTTGTTTACACGGCGTCTTGAAATATAGCTCAACGTACTTGAGTCTCAGGTCGCTCACGGGAATTTCGTTTATTCTTTGCAAAAGAGCAAACGTCCATTTGTTACACGAGCGCAGGCGAAGGTGTTGGATAGTGAGTGGTATGACTTTGGAACGTGCCTCTGCTAAAGTCTTTTTAGCCGGGAGCGCATCACTGACACGTGCTGCATCGGATTTGGTTGCAAAAGACAAGAATATGTCGTCCGGGAGCCCAATAATGCCCATGGGTATGTCAAGCCGCTTCAATCTTGCGAAATCCGCCAGCGTGATCATGTGCGATCCCATATTCCTCCATTTGGCATCGTGCGACTCAAGAACCTCGATGGTGGGCGGCCCTTTCCATCTGGTGTTCTCCGCGATTGTGAGAGCTTCTAGCTTGGCCTGGAACAGTGGTAATGCTGGTCCTTGGAATGGAGCACCGGGCAGCATCTCAAAATTCAGCGCTGGAAAGACTGGAGGTGCCTGGTAGAGCGGACGTGGCGGTTGGCTGGAGAAAAATGGCCTCACTTCTGGTAGCTGAACAGTCACCGATTTGATGTTGGGACACGACATCGCGAGAAGATTAAGGGAAAACGCTGGTTCCTTCCTCCATACGGTGCCGACTGAGGCGTTGCTTTCCCAAACCCGGCTCCAGTCCGGGGTATGTCCAGTAGTGGTAGAGATGGCTGCGCCAAGACCTTCCAGTATGTCCAGGTCGAGACTGTTTTCATCCGCGCAGAAACAGCCTACGTGATGACTGCATCCGAAATCCCCAAGATTAATACTGAGTACCTTGTTGAGGAGTTCCGGCTGATAGCTAAGCATTCGCAAGAAGCCTTTGATGTTCCTCCCCGACGCGATCAGCTCTCGCACGATGGTCGCTTGAACAATCCCTCCGAGACGTTTGTTGACCAGTCCAAAGTTGAAGATGTGCGTAGTGTCGAGCAGATTGGAGGCTACCATTTCAAGGAGTTCGGACGGTAGGCGAAGCATTCCGTTGTTGTGGACAAGGTGGGTGTCGACTTCGTCCAACAGCGCAGACGTATCGTGCTTGTCGCCATCTTGGGAGTCTTCGGGACTAAATTCTGGTATCGCGGATTCCCTTGAGAGGGGTGGTGTCTTGACCCCGTTTGCAGGACTCGCTACGCGTCGCTTCCTGGGAGTAGAGCTGGGTGGCGTCATCGGCGCCATTGCGGTATGAAGTGAGGATGAGACGTGGTTTGGGTGGTTGAGTGGAAGCGCAGATTTTCGCGCTGGTATATTACTTGATAGTCTGGCAATTATCCATGTGTGCATGTGAGTACTGTGGGTCGGTCACAAGGGCGGCTACCGCGGTACCTGCATATGGTCAGTTATCGCGTGACGTAATCGAGTGAATGTAGTGGGGTGTTACCTGAAAGACCTCCCTACTGTGAAAGACCGTCTCTGCTTTGCAGCTTAAAGATAGAGGAAGTGTGTTGCGCAACATACGTACCGTGGCTGCTTGTTGACTGAGATGCGAGGAGGGTGTGACACGTCCGCGCCAAGCCGCTAGTATACAAGCAGGTGACTCGTTCCAATGCTCTTTCCATTGACACGCATGCTCTACTAAGATAAGGAACGATAGCTACGCGCACGCTTAGGTATAAGGATACTCATTTCGTGTCGCTTCAAACCTTGCTCGATATTGCAGTATCGCATCGCATCCCGGTGCAACATGTCACCTCCACCCTAAAAGACGGCACTCACATGCCCAAGACCGACAGCGGTGATGGGATGTACTCTTCCCAAAACACACTCACCCATCAAGTTACCGACTGTATGCCGCCTATATCTCCTTTGTTGTAACCCTGAGGAACTGCAGCTCCTTGGGCTTATGCGCGGAATACCCATTGCGGTCTACCAAAGGAGCGACAGTAAGCACATTGCCACTGTCGTCTTCAAGTTTAAAGTCAAAAGTAGCAATAAAGTACGCCGTGATGATGTTCTGCTCGAGTTTCGCAAAGCGCATGCCCAAACACGGATGCCGTCCTGACCCCCAGCCAATGAAGCCATGTGCTGCCTTCTTCTTGTCCTCCGCACGATCTGGCATGTATCGAGCTGGATCCCACTTCTGTGGGTCGGGATAGATCTCTGGATCGTAGTGTATGTCGCCCGTGGCGTATGTGACGAACGCGCCGGGTGGTATGACTTCGTCGCCGTTACCCGTGGGTATGTTCTTGCCGCTGATGTTCCGCCTGAAAGCCGTACCGAGTAGGTTCAGACGTAGGGAGTCTCGCAGACACATGTCGATGACTGGGAAATCGGCCTCCCATGCCTCTATAGGTACGTCGTCGAGCTGCTGGAGCAAGGGTGCGTTCGGGTTCTTAGCGTACCTCGCCGCATTGCTGCGGACTTCGTCGTTCGCTTTGGCGAGCCATTCGGGTGAGGTGGCGAGATAGGACATTACCTAGTTGACTTTAGCTGTTGTTCTACTCGTACAAGGGATGGACAGGTTTAGATCCACTCATCCAGGCTACGTTGATACCGCTGTTGAGTAGACCGGCGAACAACGCTCCAACGACGAACTGAGCGACTCTCTCGGCGCGATCACCCTGATCCAGCAAGTACTGCAGCGCGTCATCGTGCTTTTCATCGCTTGCCGCACGCTTCTTGATGATTTTGTCGATCATCATATAGAGTTGCGCTCCTGCCCAGTTCCGCTTCAAGAGAGCCGGTGAAGGGAGCTTCGGGAACAAGACTGACGTAGCGGTAGAGCTGCTTTCAATCGTCTCAAACATCTTTAGAACCTCCTCCAGCATCTGAGGGTCTTCGGCAATCTCAGTAGCGCCTACCATGCGGATGGTGAGGCGGAAGACGATCCGGTACAGGCTCTCGAAGGGATTGGTGCGGCCACTGGGCTCATTCTTGATGGCTTCGAGAGCTTGCTTTGTGTCGGATATCAAGATCGGTAGTTTGCGACGGAATTGGTCGTTCTTTAAGAAGAAGCTAAGACGGCGATGGAACATGGCGCTGAAGCTGAGATTATTATCCTCGGCAGTGATGGTCCTGGAAACTTTGGGCGAGTTACCGAACAGTACAGCATATCCTTCGGTGAAGCCCAGATCTTTCGACTCGAAGAATAGCTGGCGTCCTTTGTCTCCTGAAAGCGCAACAATCATGTTCGGTCCAGCATGGAAAGAAAAGGTTCCCGTCTTGGACTGGTCGCGTCGCTCGCTCCACCATTCCCATCTTCGGGTCCAGAAACCAAGAGCCCCGACGACTGGAAGATCGTCTTTGACTTGAGGTGGCGCATTCCCAGGGACGCGATGCGAGTAGGATAGTGCGCCAATAGCGCACGCTGTCAAGGCTAGCCCGACTATTGCGAAGAAGAAGGGGTTGATATCTGAAAACCGCTGGACGACATCAAGTACCGCCATCTTGCTGGGGAAGTACGACTAGTGGCTGTAGTGAGTAGCACAGGGGTTTATGGTCTTTTGGGGTTTCGCCGCGCTGAGAAGGGGTTGAGGGCAACCCTGATATAGATAATGAATGCAGTCGCAAAACCAGCGCGGCACAGCCCTTAAGTGGAGCTTGCATTCCAGAAAGGTACTGCTGCAGGATTGGCGACGACTGGCGCATCATGAATCATATCTCATCGGTGCTGCGGCAAGCGTAGTATTGACGCCGCGCATGGCAATATCAAGCACGTGTTAGAGTTAAACAGTAACAGGGTTACGAATTGGCTGATATACTCAGTGGCGACGCAATCAGCATGCTCGCTCGTAAACGGGCTTTTGTCTGGAAAGATGCAGATGTGTGATCGCTTGCCGCTGCTCCATACATTCCCCGGCCCGTCCTGCAGTCGTCATCCTCGGCATCGCAGCCACAATCCATACAACCATCGGCCATCGGTTCGGCACTCGAGTTCCGACTGTGAGTGTCTAAACGAGACACACCCAGCACACGACCACCGGATAATATACCTCGTCTGCAATGGCTTGCATAGACGAGAGCCCGAGAGGGTGGATCCGATAGTCACCACAGCACCTTCCTTTTTGATCCTGGCACTGAGGAAGCTGCAGCTGAGTAGGATCCATGGTCGTTTCCTGTATCTTCTTGAGTAGAGTGAGGACTCCAGGGCCCTTGCTCGCCAAGAAAGCGAGCCATCGGATTAAAGTCGGCATAGAACTGCTGTTTGCACCCGTTTGCCATGATATGAACAGGTGTGAGCTCGCGTGCAACCTCGTTGTATCCTCCCCTCCCTCTCCCCAGTCTAGTGTAGCTGTCACTGCCCATAGCATCGACGGGCACGGCGCGAACAGAAATGTCCATGTCCATACCTATGCCTATACCCATGAGGTCGTGCTCCATACTGTTCGGGCCTGCTCTTTGTGTGTGCTTTCGTTGTGTATCGACGTGATCTAATGAGACCAAGTTCCGTTCGGGACTCCTCGTGGGCTTCTGCGGCGTGCCTGCTGGTCGATACCGAGGATGCTCGACAATGATACCGTCAGGCCGCTTGATCGCGCGATGCTTCTTCGTACAGCGCTGGGGTTTACTCTCAAGTGTCATTGTGATACTGAGGTCGGCGTTCGGAGGCAGGCTCGGACCACTTTGTAGGTTGGATTCGATCGGTGTGGACGGCCTGTGTCTTGGTTCGCGCATGTCTACGCGGGGAGGCTGATATGAGGCTGATTGCGTAGTGAGAGTCTGAATGCGTGATATATCTGATAGTGATAGCCTCCGCCATGTCAGTGTACAACGCTTACCTTTGTATACTCGAAGTCAGCGCAACGCGAAGTATACCGAACGTCGTCCTCAACGACGTAGCCATGGTCTGAAGAGTCCAGATCTCTCCCATCGAGATCATAAACTCTCCACCTCGCTCATCTCACCATCTCTAGCACAACAAGCACACCGTAAAGTAGATGCCTTGCGCCAAAGTGAGCCTGATCTACCGTGACCACACCACAACGACATCATACCCAGGTCCTGCGGTCACGACACTGGCGGTCTGGACCCATAGACACGCCCTGTACTCGTCTGCAGCCCCATGGTATGCGAGCCCGTTAGAGCACGACAGCTCTGTCCGACATTTTGGTATATTCAGGGCTTCGATCGACGTCATATCGAGTGCGTCGCACGGGAATCTAGACCATCAGAGCGACGGTTGCGCTGCTGAGCCCCTGTCGCGTCTCGTGGCCGTGAAGGGGTGCGCCTCAGCTCAAGCGCGTGCGGCCACACAGCCCCTGCGCAGCATCGCGAACATGTCGTCATACGTGAAGCTGGCAGCTGGAATAGGCTTCGTGGGATCGTCTGCGCGGGTATCGGGGGCAAGCATCAGAGAAAGTCAGAGGGCCTAGATTCTGGTGTCGTGGGGGGCCAGAAGAGAGAAGATGGCGAAGGGGAGGCAGGAGCGAGTGGGACCGGTAATGATGTCAGGGCGCGTGCGCAACAGCAGAAGGGGGTGAGCAACCCATCGCTTCTTCACAACACCGACACGACGCCTGGCACTACATCACTGCAAAATAACTATGAATACCCATGACCATTTTCCATTCACTTTTGTATTCTCTCTAAACTGTTAGCTATCTGAGTCCAGCGCAGTTTGCTTGACCAAAGCCGCCCTTGCGTGTCCGCTGCCACCGCTTTTCACACACTCAAATCATCATTCCTTTTAAATCGCCTTCACAACCCCTTCCAATCACTGCAGCGCTTAGACAATTCATATGATAGAGAGCTCTGTGGACATTTTGAAGACGGCGGCATCAAGGAGACCTTAGCACATAGCCAAGTGCTGCCATCATCTCAGGTTCCTTCTCTAACTGATCATGTGTAGTGGCCAGACACTTCTCGATGACAGGGATGAGATCACCGGTGGTATAATGTCTTTCTGGCTGTCTCGCATCCGCGTAAAGTTTCCTGGTCTCCAAGGCGGTAGTCAGGTTGCCGCTCGGTTCCTCCCATCCTATCTCGCGAAATTTAGTAGTGCCGAAAGCGGTGGTTAGGCCAACACGCGATGCCCGCCATCTCCGAAGCGCAGCCGGGAACTCCTTGTTGTTGGAATAGGGAATAGACCTATAATGCCAGCCCATGGAGACGATGTTATACGGATACAGCAGCTGGACTTCGCGCAATCTTGGAAAGTTGACATCATCAGCTATCAGATTGTCGAGCCACTGTGTGCCTGGCCATAAATTTTCATGGCTAATGCTCGTACGGAGAGACTCGAGGGATGAAGGGAGTACGTGGCGAAGCTCAGCCGTTGCTGGATCACGAATGCGATGTCCGAACGTAATCCTGTCGTGGATGCATAGCTTGTCGAATAGGTAGTGGTATGGGATCACCAGCCGCTTGAGACTCGAAAAGTCTACCGGGTCCAGGCCCATGATCAGACTGTTGTGCAGATATTCACTGACAAGACTAATTTCGACATTGATCTCCTCGAGTCGCGCTTGAAGATCCGATCTCGCTTGTCGGATTGGTTGATGCGTTGATATGGTTGCAGGCTTGTTCTGATGGACGAACGCATGATATGCGACTTTGACTTCATCGAAGATGGTGCCGGACATTCCATTGAAGGATGTAGCCTTCAGACTATGCGCAAGAGTAAAGAGAACGGTCATGCTCTCGAAAAAGCATACTGTCGATCTTTCCGCGTCTGTCGTGCTATGCTCATAGGAACCCCTGCTGATTTTCCATGCGGTGTAGTGTTTTCGGTATGAATCACGCGCAACGTCCATCGTCATTGGTCCGAGACGAAGATGGGTGAAGGACGCGACCAGATCTGGGTGAATTCGCAACATCGCGTTCAGCTTCCACAGGTTTGCGGGCTCGACAGTCGCTCGTTTGATAAGACCTTCTTGTGCTATTGGACGCATACGACGACAAGTGAGCGAGAGAGCGTGGAGGTCTACGATTTCGACTCCGCCAGTGATACTGACCAGGAGCTCATCGGGAAGTCGCAGTATCGCGGTCCTGGATTGCGACATGGCGGCGGGTTGTGAGTTGAATCTATTCCGGAAGTACAGATCTGTTGGTTTTGATTGTGTAAAAGGCTGGATTGTTCAATATCGCTTGCACAGTGGCCTTGAGTCACGCTTGAGCCACGCCAACTGCATCGGGTAGGCTTCTGGTGGTGAGAGAGGAAAGAGCTCTTGGCAGTTGCACAATCGTAACGCGATTCACTATGGAACTTGCTAACCTCTACGGACCTCTCGCCCGAGCTGTACCGTCTCAGGCCACGTGCGCGAATTGCGGCCAGCGGACCCTTTTAATTCCATCCTTGCACTCGTCCTTCGCCGGGACCATAACACTGACTCTACCTCGACTGCAACATTAGTGGGCTACGATACACCTCATATGAGCGCACATCTCAGGTCATTTGCCGCTCCTTCACCGGATTTGGAGAACTTGGGAGCGCCTAACAAAGCTGCACTCGCGTCAACAGTGTACCCTGGCGTCAATATCTCCCCATATAATACTAGTCGCCGATCAAATTCCAAGGATAAACACCTTCCATAACCATGATGACTTGCTACCTTCGACTACCACAATCGAATCACCACTCTACAGCACTGGTTTCGATCGAACTTCCGTTCGTGTAGACCATGTCTTCAACATGCTCAAACGTGTGAAGATCAGCTCCGTCAATATGTTAGTTAATAGCGGTAAAATGATTGTCGTTTTCGTTGCGGCCCCAATACTCTACCACTATCAGGTATCTTACTTTCCACAATGAGCACCCTAGAAAAGTCACTCGCTCATGTTCTGTTCAGCACACGATACGCTTACCAGTTTACCTACGTCGACCCGACGGACCTTATCGAACAAGACTGCTGGATATGCCTACGCACGTACTTTAGCCAAGAAGAAGACGACGAGGAGGGAAGTGACTCAAGACCCGAATGCCTACCTATAAGGCTACCATGCGGACACGTTGTTGGCCAACACTGTTTCGAGCACTACCGACGCGCCACCAACGATGTAGAGCAATGTCTCCTATGTCGCCAGAAGCTCCTTCCACTGCTCCCTCGCACGAAACACACTGCTCTTCTAGGCAGAGTATGTCGAACACCCTGGTTCCAGTGGCACGACCGTAAACTCGGATGGACCCCGTTCGGCGTCGAAGACATGGATGCATCAAGCAGCGAGATCAAGATGTACAACGGGGAGGTACTGACATGGTTCGACGTATTAATCATTATCGTGCACGACGAAGCCTCGCGCGCGTTTCTATATATCACCCTTCCCATATTCGCTATCGTCGCTCCTATCGCGGTCTTCTGTCTGGCCTATCAGCGATTCGGAAATCCACCTCCATCGTACGTCGCTATCCACGATCCAGCTTTGCACATTGCGTATGGCACATACTCGTACGGTTTGATGGAACGCTTCCCTGAATTAAGACTTTTACGCGACATTGCAACTGGGCATG